TGGTTAAAATTGTTCAGAGGGTTTTTGTTTGTTTGTTTATTGTTGGGAATGAGCCAGTAAAGAGGAAAAATTGATGCAAAAGAGAGGAGACAATCCCTGGACCGATGTTGAGTAGGAGAGAAGGGATGGGATCCAGTGCATAGTTAATAATCCACACAGGATACTTTGTTACTTTCGAAAGATCTTGCAAGCATTTGCCTCATTCTATCTTCCCTTTGGCTGGAAGGCCCTTGCTCCCCTTCCTCTGTCAACACTACCACCACCATGCCACCTGCCAAAACTAGTTCTTCAAGAGCACAATACATACATATCCTTCATGAAGCCATCCTCAAATTCGTCGGGCATGATTGATTTCTCTCCCTTGCGTGTCCATGGCATGTTTTTTGTACTTTTCTTACATCACTTCTATGGACTGCCTACTATCTTAATTAGTCTTTCTCCTTAATTAGATAATTTGTTCCTTGAAGGCTTCTGGTTCCTAATTTCTGACCACATTCAACTATTATAAAAGACTAATCAATAGATATTTCTGGCTCATAGAAGGTACTCAGTAAATATTTTATGAATAAATGTACTATATGATTAAAAGGAGTTATTATTTCCCTTGTTTGATGAAGTTGGCTTAGGTTTGGAGAAATGGTGCCAGGCTCCACTCAATGAGTGTGTTTACTTTGCATCTACTATTAGTGCAAATAGTACTCTCTATTTGTCTGAATTCTATTAAAAAATTTTGTGTTCTCATCACCTAAGCAACACTGTATGTAACCATGGGTCTTTAAAGAACTTAATAGATAGTAAAATTCAGTAAATATTTGTGAGTTGATTAATAAAACTTCTTCTGGTCTTACCTTTTCTAATATATGATAAACTGGTGCCTTAGAGGCAACTTCTAGCCAGGAATCACCGTCTATCCCAGCGATTTTCAGCCTTTTTCATCTCATGGCACACATAAACAAATTACTAAAATTCTGCAGCACACCAGGAAATATAGTGTTTTTTTGTTTTGTTTTGTTTTTTGCCAGTCTGACAAAAAGTGTAGGTATAATTTTGATCATTCACACTGGACGGCTATTGTTGTGTTGGCTGTTGTCATTTTTTTATTTGAAAATCTAAGGGAAAAGAGGTCAGTGCCCCTGGCTAAATAGTCAGGTATTGCATGTTTTAAAAATTCTTGCAGCACACCGGTTAGAAAAGCACTATTCTTATTTCCCAAAACTTTACCCAGAGTATCAATTTGAGAATCAAATTATCTCTTCAGAGTCAATCATTTCTCAAGAATAACTCTTAAGAATAAATAATAATAATAAAGTGCTTGTTTGTTTGATTTCTGGCCAAATCAGTGCCTTTTAGTTGGGAAGTACTAAGTTAGTTATTGCCTATAATCTAGACAGGGCTCAAAAGAACATCCACATTGGGACCTCCAGCCTGAGTCAAATACAGCTTCTACCACTTGGGCAAGTCATTTTATCTCAGTCAATATCTCTGAAGTTATAAGTCTTGCCTAAAAATATAGGGAAAATTATGCCCACTTAATAGATTTGCTGTGAAGGTTAAAGAATGTGTGGAAATTGCCTAGCTCAGCATCTAGAAAAGTAAGTATTCAGTAGATGTTAGCTGCTGTTACTCCCCTCTCACAGCTATTCCCATTTCAGCTTTTGCTTTGCTTTTTCTCTTACACTGGGCTGCTGCTATACTGTTCCAGAACTGTAGAGAAAATGGGTGGGCTAGCTGCTGTGGCATGGGATAAGTGATTTTCCTAGAGAGCAGTTTTGAGCAGTGGCTTCTTTCCCATGTCCCTCCTGGCCTGTTTGCCAAGGGCTTACACCCCTGGGTAATTTCTTTACCCTTTATCTTCTCCATTTCCCCCATGAATGCAGTTGAGGAACCAAAAGTTAGTTTCACTTTTGGTGGCTGTCCATCTTCTTCTGCCCTAACTCCCAACTTTCCTTTTGAGCTACAACTTGTGAAGTGATAGTTCTTCTCTAGCTCAAGATAAGACACACAATGAAAATGATGCCATCTGCTGGAGTACTAGATTTTCTTTGCTTGGGTTGCAAAAGACGGTTTGCATCAAGATTGAGGTCTGTTATACCTCCTTGCTAAGTAGAGTACATGTCCTAGCATGCCGGGGTTCTCAAATGATTTGTTTTTCTCTTTGTTCCTTTCGAGCCTGCATCTTTGAAAGAGACCAAAGTGTAAATAATGCCAAACTCTGGGTAAGAAAGTACCACATTCTCATCACTATAGTATGGGTGAACTCATTGTACATCTCTACTTTGCAATTTTCCATTTCTAAAATGGGACTAATAATTCCTGAACTTTGATCTTACCAGATTGTTATTGTAAGATAAGGGATGCAGCCCAACCTGTGTTGCTCAGTGGTAGAGCATTGACCCATGCACCGAGAGGTCGCCAGTTCATTCCTGGGCAGGGCATATGCCCAGGTTGTGGGCTCAATCCCCCATGAGTATGCAGGAAGCAGCCCATCTATGTTTCTCTTTCATTGATGCTTCTATCTCTCTACCTCTCCCTTCCTCTTTCTGAAATCAATAAAAATATATTATAAAAAAAAAAAGTAAAGGATGTAGTTGGTTGGAGCATTGTCCTGTACACCAGAAAGGTCGAGAGTTCTGTCCCCGGTCAGGCGCATCCAATGGATGTATCTCTCATACATCGATGTCTCTCTCTCTCCCCCCTCTCACTCTCTCCCCCCGCTCCTTCCCTCCCTTCCTCTCTTCCTCTCTTTCTAGAATCAATGGAAACATATCATCAGGTGGTGATTTTTTTTTAAAAAAGGCCTGGCTGGTGTGGCTCAGTGGTTGAGCATTGACCTTTGAACCAGGAAGTCACAGTTCAATTCCTGGTCAGGGCACATGCCCAGGTTGCGGGCTCGATCCCCAGTGTGGGGCATGCAGGAGGCAGCCAATCAATGATTCTCTCTCATCATTGATGTTTCTGTCTCTCTCTCTCCCTTCTTCTCTGAAATCAATAAAAATATTTTTTTTTTTAAAAAGATAAGGGATGCAGAGAGCTTGATAAACTAGTGCTACTTGGATGTAAGGAAGTATTATTACTCTCCGTCCTCATTTATTTTTCCAGGTTGGGCCAAGCTTTGGGGGAATGGGCACCAGACTCTGCATTTGCTCATTTACTTCCCCAGGCCCCTGCCTTACCTAAGGGGCAGAGCCTGTGAGACTCCTAAGCCCATATAGTCTGTGATGGGCTTCCATGATCTTGGCACCCAGGAAGGTGCAGTACCATAAGCCAAACCTTTGATTTGCCAACTCTCAGCTCCTCCCAGTCATGGTTCCTATAGCTTGGTAATGTGGGCCTAGGAAGCTTCCCCTCTCTCTACTCTATTGGAGACTCCAAAATTTTTTTTTGTTTAATCTCCTCTCAAAACTTTGGCTTATCTGCCATAGATACATAGCCAAACTGTCAGAACATTCTGGGAGTTCTCTGAAATGAGAGGGTAATACAATACTTCTAGCTACCCCTGAGTGTCTACCATGTATCAGGTACTATAGTTAGAATTTGTCTTGTGTAATACTCATAGCATCCTTTGAAGTAGATATTTATTACTTGCAATTTACTAGAAGGAAAACTAAGGTTCAAAAAAATCTCCTATTTCAAGTCACATAGTAGTAAGTGATCATCATGCCAGGAGGCCTCTAGCACTATATAGGAAGAGGGACTGTATGCTACAGAGGAAAATTCAGATTTCCAATCCCGTGATCTACATGCAGATCCCAACCCTGCCTGTGGGATCTGGGGCAAGTGGCTTTCAGCTTCTCCAGCCACAGATACTATCTCATTAAATCTTAACCACAGCCATGTGACCTTTCTCTTGCCTTTTTTTTTTTTTCTATTCTTATCTGTTTACATTTGAGGAAACTTGGTAAAGGTGAAATAATGTGCCCAAGGTTACAGAATAGTAAGTGGCAAAGCCAGAGCTCAAGTCTCTAACACCTGGTTTGGTGTCTTTTCTCTCTCTGTCTCTGTCTCTGTCTGTCTGTCTGTCTCTCTCTCTCTCTCATTTCTCACTGCCAGCTCCTAAGACCTGGTGCATCACTCAGGCAAACTCACAGCTTTCAGGATGCTGGTTGAAAGCCTATAGGAGCAGGAGCTTCGTGTTCTACTCTGTTTCTTTCTCTTCCCATAATCTCTCCTTCTTAGAAACCTTACTAAGGCAATATAAACATTTACAATTCAAGAAGGTTGATGCAAAGCTGAAAAACTGCCCAGCGCACCCCACAAAAGCCTAGGAACCTGCCTCCCATATTTTATGAGTTTGTGCTGTTACTCTGGCAGCAAAGTGTAGTGGGTAGTTTCGAGGAAGTTCTTCCTTAATTTTTTATCAATAAAATCTTATAAGATTGTTATGAAGGTTAGAGATGATAAATATTCAAGGGCAGCAGGTAGAGCCTTACTAATTGATGGCAGTTATTTACCCTGGCAGCAGGAACTAATAGAAACCAGACTGGGAGTCAGGAGTCCTAAATCTATTACTCTCTTAGCCTGTGACCTTGGGCATGTGAGGCACTCTCTAGGTAGACTAGGTGGTCTCTAAGGACTCCTTTCAGCTTCAATATCTGCTTTTACAAATGAAAGTAATAAATGCTTGTTTTAAAAAAAATCAAATTGGACAATTATCTGAAGTAAAAAGTGAAAGACCCCAATACATTCCCAAGGTAATACTTGTTACTACTTTGTGTGCCTTCCACTGTTTTCTGTGTATTTTAAATATATACAGGCACATGTAAATATACATATACACATTGTATGGTATGTATGTTAAACACACTGGAATCTAGAATACATACTGTAGCAGGACTTGATCCTTTTACTTGCTTTGGGCATTTTTTCTTGTTAATACTTGAAGATATAATTTATTTTTAATTAATATTTTGTATATCAAGTGGTCCTCTAGTGATCACATGTCATGATTTTTAAAGGCAAATATACATACACAATGTTGAATTTTTAAATTTTCTTTTTAGGAAAAGAAGAAAAAGAAACATAGAGACAGGAAGTCATCTGACTCTGACAGCTCAGACTCTGAGAGTGATACAGGCAAGAGGGCAAGGCACACATCAAAGGACAGCAAGGCGGCAAAGAAGAAGAAGAAGAAGAAGAAGCACAAGAAGAAGCACAAGGAGTGAGAGTGCAGAGTGAGGGGGTGGCTGAGAGAAGAGGGACCCAGGAGCCTTGTGCCTTGCAGCCCTGGCTCCTAGAAAGACTCAGTAGTGAGAATATGGCCTCCCACCCCATGACTCTCCCACTGGGAGACGGCTTCCTCTCATGCTGCAGGGAGCCAGATGTCAAAAGCATCTGCCTGAATGAGTTGTTGTTTCCTTGTCACTCCTGGTCCATTTGCAAGTGACCCCTGCAGCTCACCCATCCATTCACCCAACTTCCTTCATTCAGCAGGAGGTCCTTTTACCCTCTCCAGCTGTCACTGCCAGAGCCTGATTCCTATGGGAGTCCAGGCTAGAGCCAGTTACTGCTGTGGAAGGGAGTCTGGCTGTAGTTGAAGTGTGACTGGCCCCTCCCTGTTGGTTCACCCTGGGCTGATTGGTGGGTGATTTCTGCTGTATCCAACACAGGGGCATGGAGGGAGCCTGGCAGTCTGAGGGAGAACATAAGAAGTGGTGCTCACTCTTTCCATCCCCCTAACACGATTCTGCTATGCTAGAAGTGACAGCCAGTGTTCCGCAGCCAGAAACCATTGTAGTGACTGAGCTTGTGTGTGACATTCTGCCAGACCACCAAACCAGACAGCTCGAGCTAAGATCATTGCTTTACTTTGTGTTTAATACTAGGAGTCAATGGATTCCACTTCAGGTTCCTCCTTAAATGCCTGGCACTAAATGGAAGTGTGTTTGGTTTTAAACTTACTGAAAGTTCTTATTGCTATTATACCTCTTCCCAGGTAACTTACAGACGGAGAAGTCACTGGGTCTACAAGTTGACAGAAAAACATTTAATATGTAACTTTAGACTGTGGAGAAAGGTCTGCTGAGGTTCAGAGCCAGATGTACTAGCAGGTCACAGCCTTCTTATCACTAATAAGCCCTCCCTTTTGTAATCAGATGACCTCTTCCCTCTGAGCTGATTGGAGAACCAGTGAGAATTTACAGCTGGGAGTAATGGTCTGGGCATTGGTGGGAGCTCAGCAGTCATCTTGGCCAGTGGGCATTTTTTCCCACCAAAATGGCACAAGCCTGGATCCATTGTCCTGAGCCTACATTCTGGAAAAAGAGAGACCACAGCATTGCAGAGAAGGACAACTGTCCAGACCCAAGGGCATTCAGTGCAGGTGGCCCAAGGTGATAGATAGTCCAGTAGCCAAGCTTGGGGAAGCCCTGCCACTGGTTAGTCCAGGTTGGACTAGCTCATTTGGCCATGGGGAGGAAGTAAAGGCAAGGTGTAGGTACAGCTGTTCTATTGTATGTGTAAGGTGGTCAGCTACCCCCCCCCCAGAGACTGTCCATTTCAGTGTCATCCAGTGCTTCTTCCTGAGTGACCTTCAGGCAGGCGTTTCTGCCCACTTTCAGACACAGGGAAACAGACTCATGGAGTCATGTCACCAAAGGCAAGAAGGCAACTGGGTGGCCTTGGCTCTGCTTTATTGACCTCAGAGCACTCTTTGGATGCAGTTAAGACAGACAAACACAATGGGAACTGGAACTGTATCCAGGATGGTGCACCTGACCCCAGAAGAATTTCCCCCCCAAGGTGGATTTATACAAAACGCCAGAGGAAAAGACGAGGCAATCTGGTGCTGAGTCCAGGGGTAGCCAGTTGGCAGCGGAGCAGTCAGTGAAGCAGTGGGCTGGTCATGCCTCCTTCTCGTAAGTGCGCGTACACACTACATTGTTGTGGGTGAGTGTCTGGAAGGAAAGAGAGTCCGATTGGGGCAGGGGTGAGGGAACAAACATTAGAAGCACTCCATTTATTGACGGCCTACTATATGCCCAGCACTTGACATACATATTTTTTCTAATACTTACACCAGGTCTCTAAGTTACACATGTGATCTCTCTTTTAGAGATTTGGGAAAATGAGTTTTGAGAGGAAGTTGGTCAAGATCTAGAGTGTTTCTCTTTCCCTTGCATCATTCTTCTCCCTTCATCCTTAATGCCTAAGATGGCGCCTAGCATGTTGTGTCTACACAATAGGTGAATGCAAATATTCAGAGACTCTTAGGGAAGGGCTGTGCTAGGCCAACCTCCTTTCCTTCCCTAACTTGGGTAATCCCAGGACCAGAGTCCTAAACCACCACCATCCAGCCTGGCATAAAGCCAGGCCCATGGTCTCACCATAGCTGATTGCCCAGGGAGTATTTGGTCCTGCATATTACATCTCTGCCAGAGGTAGGCACCTCATTCTTAACTCTGCAAGGAGCCTGCTCTGTGTGAGTGCAGGAATGCACTGCCCCGCGAAGATCTGCCATGAAGTGCAGAGTGAAATCTGAGGCCCCATGGGATTAGGACATAGAGACCAAGGCTGGCTGCTGTCTCTGTCCCCAGGCCTGAGGCTGTTCATTCAAGTCTACATTCTCCACTGAGACCCCCAGATTTGTCCCTGAACAGACAGATCTGCCAGCCTGACTGTCACTTCCTGCCCAATTCGTATTCAGGTACTTGCAGTAGGCCAGGCGTGAAAAGCACTGAGAGGAGGTGGGGCTGGAATAAGGTGTGCCCCACAGGTCACCAGCCTGTTATTGCCCAAAGGCTTTACATGTGGCATCTCAGTCCTAGGGAGGAGAGGGACCACTGTGATGGAAGGTGGGAGCCTTTCGTAGGGACTTGGGGTCAGATCTGGCCCTGCTTTCTATCTCTGGGGCGAGGTAAGGCAGCAACACAGGAAACTAAGGCTGTGGAGCATCTGCTGTCTCCCTCCCATGTCAGTGACGCTTTGTGCTCTGCGTCCACGGTCTTATTCAGACTTCCCAGCAGCCCTCCAGGGTTGGTGTTGCTATTGTTGCAGTTGGACTTGAAGGTGACTTGTCCAAAGCCATAACAGCCTGTAAGTTGAGATTTGAACCTAGGCCTGAGATGTGAGTCCAAAGCACTACACAGAAAATTCCCACCCACTATCACCCCAGCATGTTCTCCACCCTCCATCGTCCCAGCTTCCAGTACTGCCAGGGGGAGACCTTGACTTTTTACAACATGCTTGGCTGAAGGGGCAGCAGTAGTAACCAACTGGGAAAGGCTCCAGAGTTGTCCATCTTACCAGGATGAGTTTGCCATCCACGAGCTCCCGCACAAGTTTTGTTTCTTGCCCGTCCCATTTCTGCACATGGACAAGTTTGCCTCCATCCAGCGTCACGGTGGACTGTGGAAACAGGGTAGAGGCCTGAGCTGTATGTAATCTGAGTGATGGAGGGACAGCATGGGGTCTGGTCCCTGGGCCACGGAGGACTTAACCTCTGGCCCAGCTAATGATGGTGCTAGGCCCAGAGCCCAGGCAGCCCACCTCCAGTCAGCCCTGCAGGATATCCAGCTCACCTCCAGCCTCTGCTCCAGTACTGCCTGGCTGGGAAGGGGCCTTTAGTGCTGGACAAGTAGAGAGGCAGGCAGTGTGGCGGAGCCAGACAGCCTGGCTCTGAAAAGCCATCAGTGTTCTGACGGGCATTTATCCTGTATTCTAGGTGATGCCACAGCCCCAGTGTCCCTAAGACAGGGTCATGAACCAACCCATATCCCTGGGAGAGACTGGCAAGGAGAGTCCTCAGACTCCAGCCTAGTGATCACATATAACATCTAAAAGACCCTTGGGGTTGGGGGGTATTAGAAAATTAGGCCCCTGCTTTGTATTCCCACCCCTCTTCTTGGTCCACATCATGTGACCCCTTCAGCTGACAAGTGGGCAGCAACTGCCAGGGCCTGGGACTGGGTGCCCTTGTAGTGTCCCACAGCCCTGGCCAAATGCCCACTTAGTCTTCCGGGTACTACCAGCCTGCATCAGCTGGTTCTCACTTGGCAGCTCTCCCATTCTCTCCTCTAGGAATTTGGGGAGGTCTAGGCCAGGCTAAGGGACCCTGACTGAGCAGAGTTCAGTAGAAGAATCTGAGAAGGTTGTGTACATATGTTGGGGGATGGGGGTGTTGGTGATACATCCTCATTCCTAGTTTTCTTAGTTTTTGCCCACTCAGCAAATTATTTTTAGCCAGGCATCCCAGGGAACTACTGTTGTCTTTAGTTGGGGTTTTTGCCCCTCAAGGTGGGCTAGTTCAAGGAAGTACAGGCATGTGGTAGGGGCAGCCACTTCCCAGATAGGCGCATCTTTGGGCACTATCCCAATTCTGCTGTCAGCATCCCCTGCAATTCTGGGCTGAGCTCCATCTTCCTCCACAGGGAAGAGACCAGATCCTTCCCGGGGCAGCTGTGAGGAAGGGAAACGGCTGAGGCTGAATGTGAGTCTGTGGAGGCCAAAGGCCCTTAGTCCTCTCTCCCATGCCTAGCCCAGGGGAGGCCTGAGGCAAGCTGCCAAGAAAGAGCCACTGCAGCCCTAGCTGGTTTGGCTCAGTGGATAGAGCGTCAGCCTGCAGACTGAAAGGTTCCGGGTTCGATTCCGGTCAAGGGCACATGCCTCAGTTGTGGGCTTGACCCCCAATAGGGGGCGTGCAGGAGGCAGCCAATCAATGATTCTCATTGATGTTTCTATCGCTCCCTTTCCCTTCCTCTCTGAAATCAATAATATATAAAAAGAAAAGAAAGAGCCACTGCAGGGTGACAGCCCTGAGGATGTGGACTAAGGCTTGGTCAGAAGACATTACAAACACATCCAGGACAATGCCCTGTCCGGATCATAGCTTGTCCTGCCTGTGGACTGGCAGCATGGGAAATACTTCTTCAGGGTCACTGGCCAAGCCCTGGAGGTGGGAGTTGGGGAAGAGGAAGCATCTGAGTAGGTCTCACCCCTTGTCCCCAGCTTCCTCCCTTGCTGCTGGAGGCCAGGATGACCTGTTAACTCAGTGGAGGCCCTGATTTCTGGGCATCATTCCTAAAGCACTTGAGGTAACAGCCATGGCCACACCACTCCCCCATCTTGGAAGAGGAAAGGAACCCAGAGTGACTGCATGTCATTCACAAGGTCACCCAGCTGGAGCGGGAGTAGACACTGAGGTCAGAACTGGCTCTGCTGCCCACTCCCAGAGGCAGCTGGTGGATGCTTCCCAAAAATGGAGGAAAACGAGAACAGGACTAATGCACTTAGCACTGGAACATTCCGGCACTGTAGAGGCTTTAAGGCTGTTTATTTCAGTCCCCCACTGCAATAATAGCCTCCAAGACTACCAGCTCACTCCCCTCCAGGGTCTCAGCGTCGTGCACTCCCCATGCCCCCTCCTTGACTCACCTTGACCTTCCTGTCATCTGCCGTTGTCTCGTCAAACTCCACCCCTAGCTTGAAGCTGATCTCTGTGTTCTTGAAGGTGCTTTGTGTTTTTAGGATGATCGTGTCCCCATTTATTTCGATGATTGTGGTAGGCTTGGTCATACTGGCCACCTGCCTGGTAGCAAAACCCACACCTGAGAGCAGAGGGAAGGTTATGAGTATAAGCCGGAGGAGAGTACAAGGAACTCAAAATGAACAACTCAGGCTGGATGTGGGAAAGAGGGAAGAAGAGGATGAGAACCTTCCAAGACTTTGTATGGTCTTTTTAAAAAATTATTCAGTCTTATGTGGTGAAGAGACACTGTTGATCTCATTAGACAGATCAGAACTTAAGGCATTATGCAGCAAGTTGGTGGCAAAGCTGAGATTAGAGTAAGTTATTAAGTGCTTTCTGTGTGGTAAGAACTGCGTTTGTGTTCTCATTCAATCCTGCAGTCTTCCTGAAGGGTTGATTTATTATCTCCAATTCACAGATGCAAACACAGAGAAGCCCAGGGTCACACATCTGAACTGTGACTGCAGAGCTCACGTACCTGCTCAGCTATAGTGCCTCTCGGGCTGGAGCACGGGGCTCCCTGCTGGGCACCTGAGCAGCTTTCAAGCCACAGGCTAGGGAAGAAATGTGGACTTTTCCTTCCAAGGCCATGGGATAAGAGTGTTCCACCTTTGGGAGTTTCTACCTTGAGACGCACCGGTGCCTTTGTCCCCTGTATACGGCAACAAGACATTTTCAAAGTCTCTTATCCCAGATCAAGGAAGTAGGCGAAGGGTTTGTCTGTCTCATTGTACAGATTTAGGAGAAGCCTAAAGTGGTAGTGCAGTCAGGACTTGGATCCAGGTCTCCTGGCTCCTGGTCTAAGGCCCAATGGAGACCCCCTCCTGACCTAAGCATAGCTTCCCTGGGTCTGGGCAAAGCCCAAAGTGTCCTGCAAGAGAGTGCGGAACAAAGAGCCCGTAGGCGAAGTCTAAGGTGTGATCCTGTGATCTGTCCTTTAGAGTCCCCAAACGTGCCTGACTACATAGAGCTTGTTGGCAGCTAGGAACTTATCCCATGCCCTCCCTGGGTTATTGTCCTATAAATGCTCATAACAGCCCTGAACGGTGGGTTTTATTATTTATTTGACTTGACCCAGATTTGATCTAGGCTCCAAAACTGTTTGCTATTCCTGGGCCATTCTGCCTCCTGCGATGTGTGTCTGTGATCACTGGTACTACCTTTGCCCCCTGAGAACCCTTGGTCTAAAACAATGGGCACGGGCTACCTCTGTAGCTACCTGCAGCTGGCCCACCCAGCCTGGTCGGTGAGGGACTTTGGCCTCACCCCCTGCTGTCAGAGTGAGTCAGGAGAGCTGGGCCTTATCACTGCACAGGGAGGGAGTTCTGTTTGCCTTAGACCTACCTGGAGGAGCGGAGTGTTTGAGGAAGGAATCCTCTGGAGAGGGAAGGAAGAACTAAACCAGGAGGAACTGAGAATGAAACTGGGCTGACAATTCGGGGGACTTGGGAAGAGGTGGGCTCTACTTATAAATGAAGCTGAAGCTATTTACTGAGAGCTGAGGAGGGGCTTTTCTCCCCCATGGGTCTCAGCCTTTCTACCAGTGTAACAAGAAAAGCCGACGGGGTGGGCTCTCAGTCCCCGAGCCCAAGCTGGGGCAAAATAAGGGAGCAATGGTGGGAAGGATGTTGCCACCCCTTTCAGGGACCAGGTCTTCAGTTGGAAGCTGCTGTGGGAGGCTTGGGAGGAGGAACAAACCCTGGGCATTCCAACTTCCCCAACAGCTCAGGAGTCAGTGGGCATAGTGCCCGACATAGGTAGGTCTCAAGAGCCAATTGTGGTCCCTATTTCAGGAAAAGGTTAGGAACAGAGGTGAGAGGTGCCTGGAGTGGATCTTTTCCCCTTTGGGTATCTTCCGAAATCCAGCCCGCCTTCCCTGGGAGGAAGGCATGGAACGTAGCTTGACCATGATCAACATTCCAGTTTTCCCTGTCCCAGCCTGGAGATAGATCTAGGATAACCTCATAGCTGGGGATTTCAGGAAGGGCTGAGGTCAATCATTAGATAAGCATTTCCAGCCAGTCCCGCGCCCACAGGGCCCGTATGGGAACTGATTGGGGTTGCAGATCTATAAATCTAGGTTTTTTGCTCTGCTGTGGAATTTTTATGACAAGTTCCTACTTTCTCTGAGTCTCAGTTTCCCTATCTGTTGAACTAAGCAAGGTATGAGAATCTCCAAGGACCTCACCTATAAGATTCTTTGAATTTTTACCCTTCTGCACCCAACACCGCACCTGCCTAGAGCAAAGACCACTCCTCTCATCACCCCTCCTCCCCCATGGTTAGCAGGTCTTGGCCTTGCTGCACCCTGGAAGTCCAATGGCTTTCTCCCCTGGACCCCTCCCCACTGAGTGGCTAGGCCTTGGGTTGTCACTGATGCGGGGGCCTCTTGCCCCATCTCACCACTAGGCTCAGACCCCGATTAAATTAGCCTGGTTACACACCCCTGCTGGCAAGGTCAGAGTCTGGCTGGTGAGAAAGGGCATCCTCCTAGCCCAACATGGTGAAGCAGGGGTTGTTGCTAACTGTGGGTTCCTAGCTCACCTCCCCATATCCCATTGCTGGGGTTACCCACTCTTCCATCTCCCTCCTCCCCGGAATCCCCTGCTTCTGTAGGCCATAGTACACTCCCTGCCGGCACCATTCCCTTCCTGTGTTCACCGTTTCCAATTCCTAAACCGCCCGTGCTCCTGTTCTTTTCTTCCCCTAGCTAGCCTCCCACCTTTTTAGCCAAACCCTCCAGAACATATACCCCTCTTCCCGAAAAGCACCTCTCAACCCCCACATCACCAGCATATCTGCTTCCTTGAGCCTCCCCACGTGGGAATCTGCCAGGTTCAGACCACGAAAGCCCCCTCCGCACAGGCCCTAGTCCAGGTTGCCACCTTTTCCGGGTCCCCTTACCCCCCAACCTTGACCAGGAGGGATGCAGCAGGCTTGCAGGGTACCAGCGAGGGCGGGAGCACTGCGCCGGCTGGGCACGCGGCCAAACCCTCCCCAGCCCAGCATCCCGAGCCCGGCTCACCGATGGACTTCATGTAGTCATCGAAGTTCTTGCTGTCCACCAGCTTCCAGGTGCCTGCGAAGGCGTCCGCCATGGTGAGGCTGGGCTAGGCTGTTAACGAAGAAACGACAAAGCAGGCGTGGAAGGACTCCGGGACCCCGGCTCGCAGCCCGCGCTGCCGCTTTAAATAACCCCCGTGTCACGTGATGAGGCGTGGCCCGCCCCCACCCCCATCCCGCTCCCGAAATAGGAAGCCCGGGCTGGCGCTCGCCCTCCAG